TAGACGAAGAAAACCGATGTATTCGATTGACTAAAAATGAGTGAAGTAATAAGCTTGAGATGGTAGTGTTGTATGCTTAGTTAGAACACAAAGACATCCCTTTGTCAAGAAACGCTCGAAATTGACCTCTCTAATTTCTATACTTTCCTCTTGCATTAGCCAATAATTAAAACGAGGAGCTAAAACATTGTTACCTTGGAAACTATTTCAAACACGAGACGACAACATTATACACCATGTTCAGATGGATTGAATGAAAATGGTTTGAAAATTGATTTATTCACGATGAACAAATTAAAGAATTTGGCAACTGATTCATCCCTTGAAATCATCGTCCTAGTTGCATGTCAACCTCCTTCAAGAACTACTTACCAAACAAATAATTGATCAGAAGAATGGATAAGAAAGATTAGCAAACATCTAAGAGGTACGTACGCAGATATATCAAATTTGAGGCTCAAATCTCTTATTTCACAAGACAAAATGTACTGTATCTTCTAAATTATTGCTTTTACATTGACCCACCATGCCCCTTTCTACCCAGACACTCAAAAAGCTGGCTGAGTCAATGATCAATTCATCTGTGGTATCCACTTAAGCCCTAATCCAAATTGGTCTGCAACAAAATAGCCACGTATAATTAAACTTATAGCATGCCCTTGCTGATATGAGATACACCAGTAAATCATGCATGGTTGGTGAGCAACATATGCCATTCCAAGGCTTGCCCACAAATATAATATCAAAATTGAGGATATCAATTTTTTGTTTTTATAAGACAGAGGTTTTGTGGTTTATTAACGATTAGTCAAAACATGAATGATATGATGCATGACACATTTTTCTAGACCATACATCAACATCTAAGGGATAATAATTGATAAACAAAAAAAATATTCTAGCTTATCAGTAATGCTTCTTCTTTTTTTGGTTCTTCGTAGAGATGTTTAAATCATCTAGAAACTTAAGAATGGATATTTTACTGCTTGAACTAATATATATGTTGCGCGTATACACACACATGGAGGGAGTTTTAGCTTTCAAAACGAAGAAAAAATTATAAACCAAGGATCTAATTACAAACAAATTTTGATATGTAGGGAGTGGATCAAATACTTTGAAAATTATAGAGAGTTAAATCTATAGCTATTGAACAAGAGAAAATCATTGAGCTTGCCTCCCTCTCCAGTTATATAAGGGGATCCGCGATTGGCTAAACTGTAAATTTCTTAGAGGTTGCTCAAGTACAAAATTATCTAACTTTTTTCAAATTACAATAAAGTTGAAGGACGTTTTTTAACTTTGAGAGGCCACGCTTCCGCTAGCCCTCCTTGGAGAAATAAGCCGGAGCATTTGTTTCCAGAAAAAAGCTTTTCTTTTCTGACCGTTCCGTATTTGATGTAATTGGGAAAAAGTAATCAAAAACAATTATTTACAAGTAAATATAACACTATGCTTAAAATTACAAAGAAAATTTTGTTCCGTTGTCAAAAGGAAAACATAATCCTGAGAAAACTCAAAAGCATATTCTAAACTATTCTTTAGTTTAGGTACAATTCTTTTTTTTAGTAGAAATTCATTAGCAAATGATAATAATAGTAATAAAATTAAGAACGAATACAGAAGAGACAATGAGCATAGGGATACAAGATCGCGAGCATAATTAATAGAATAAAAAGCATCGATTCCAAAAAACCAAATATATATAAACCACTTCGAGGCAACTCATGTTGTACATGTTAGAAAACGAATCAAATAAAAAAAAATTATATAGTACGAAGATTTACATAGTTCAAAAATTATTTTTATTCCATAACTATATTAGTATTTTTTATTAAATTTTATCAAATGACGGTTTACAAATAAAAGTGATGTTGTCTTTATTTATAATATAGACAACTTATAATAAACAATTAAGATTATAAGAAAAAAAAGCATAATGAACTTATACATCCGACATAATATTTTGTAAATTTTTTAGAAGCTTTGACCCTCAACCCCCCTAAAAAAATGTTGCCCCTTTGATTGCCATGTGCATAACATCTTATATTGTTAGCCTTTATTCATATTAGTTTTTATAACTTAATAGTATATATGTCAAATTTTGCAATAATTTATTGATCATAAATCAAATATATTATTTAAAAAAAATTGAAAAATAACATAAAAAGTTTTTGTAAAAAAGGTTATTTGATTTTCAATATTTCCTACACACTGTATAATACATAAAAACTTCGTACTTGTACTGGTTAATTTAATTGGTAAATTCAATTGGTTAGATTAGGATTACAAGATTTCATACGGAAGCATATTTAGTTCAAAGGTCACATAAATCACATATATGAAAACACCAATTTAGTAAAATAAAATAAAAAATAAAAAGCATAAAAAAATTACGTGAATATCCCACAAAATTGTTCCTATATTTGAACAAATAATAGCATTTTCACAATAATTTTAAGAAATTGATTCGTATACTAAAGAGAATACTCATTCATCTTAGATGGCAATTTTAGTCGGGTAAAGATTATGAACAAAACAATAACTGTCAACGATGGTGGTAGGTGGTCTTCTACCCGTTAATCTCATCATTGTTGTCTAGCTTCCCACTTCACCAACCGTATGGAAGTATATATATATATATATATATATATATATATATGCACGAATTCTTTTGTTATCACCTAGCTAGAAGAAATGAAGAATAAAGGTACGGAGTATTGTTATACAATATTGTAGCTTAACGTCACCTCATTTGTGCTGATTTTATTAGTAGTATTTAAGGGAAGGTTAAATAATTAAAAATAGACGAAAGAACCATGAAGCTGGAGTACTTAATCTTCCATGCGACAATAACAAGACTTTTAAAATTTTGATAATATTTACTAAAATGAATATTTTAATAATTACTCCAAAAGAATTAAATCAATGACAAGTTGTTGGTGAGTTGGATTAACGATTTTTGGGTCTTATCAGGATCAAATATAGAATAAATTGTTAATTTAAGTGTGAAATAAATCAGTTCCTCAAAAGAAAAATTAAAAGGTGTGGATCGAAGAATAGAAAAGCAAGATTAATGAAGGCTTTGACAAAATGCCACTTCTTGATTTTTGTGACTTCAATTTCAAAAAAACTAAAGCTAGCCCCATGGTAGAACCGGACCCTCGAATAAAATTTCCAAATCTATAGCCATTTTGAAACCTATAACGCTTTTGAGTAAGTAGGATATAGCCTTTTCTTTTCCTAGAATCCAAGTTAATATTTAATTAAAAACTCGTTTAATTAAATTAAAAAAAATATGCCTGATTGCTAAGTTTACAATGCATGTGTTATTATGATAACTTAATTAGCAGATCACACTGTTATGATTTAGTGGTCCTGTTAAGACCCTCTTAACGTCTTGCTTCAAATGATCGCTATTTAAAGAGGAAAGCAGAGGTTTATAACTTCTTAATCAACACCAACTAACTGTTTTTGATAAGAATGCTCTCATTGAGATCATATTCATGGCCTACCAAACAATAAGATAATTAGCATCCAATACGATTTTTTTTTAATGATCATTACATTGGCAGTAAAGCAGAAATTAATTATATTTGGGCGTGATCTTGATGTTGGATTATGTGGCAATTTTGTATATCTTTCCAATATTGTTTGGACCTTTAATCTTTCTCCAAATCTTTACACTTATTGGACCATATATATATATATATATATAGTGGAAGCACGCAAGAAGGATTCCTTTTTCTTTTTTTTTTTACAAAAGTAAAAAAAAATCCAACTCAAGATACAGTTAAACTAATACATTTGCAATTTTCTAAACATCTGCCAAAAAAATAAAAATTATTATATATGTTCTTAAACATCTGCACCCATAAATGCAACGCATTTATTGGAAAAGCAAATCCCAGTCCTCTTCACTATATTTCATGTGCATGAGAACAAGATAGGACTCTAAATATTAAATAAAACACATAAATGGACTGATTTGAAAATGAAATTTGTGAGGATGCAGTGTCTTTTAGTTAAATGTGGAGAAAAACACGTCAAAAAACTTGAAAACCATGCTTATTAGCTTAGAAGCCAACCAAAATTGACATCCAGGCTTAAAGAATCAAAGATTAGATCCTATGTCTTCATCTTTGGGGACCATATACATGGATGGATCATCTTCTTTTTCTCTCCACTAACTTCATTAATTTACCTTGTCTTTTAGTTTTACCACCATTAATTAAAACACTATCTATCACCTCCACCAGGAAAGTACTTTCCGGCAATTAGCTCCAATCGAATTAACTCCTCTCTTTTATTAAAAAAATCAAAGTTTCATTTGACATGTTATATGCTCATCTAAAAACGTACTAAATTAAATTGCTAGCTCTACTAACATTTTTTTTTTAATTGAAAGGTTCAATAAATCTTAGGTTACATAATTCTCCTGCAATTCTCAAGTCTCATACCCCATCATGGCTTTTAGGTTTCAATAAAAAAAAATTAGAATTTTTTTTTCCAAATTTAAACTTATGGAAGATCTTGACTAATATCAAATTGGGTGAGGTAGTGTTATTTTGAAGTAAAAAAGGACCCCACTGACTAGTGATTCAGGAGGAAAAAAGCTAGCTCTTTCTACCTTGCAATGGATGACAGAATTAGAAAATCTGCCTATACTTTTAATTTCATCCTCTTCAACGTCTTTACCTTTTTCTTTTCTTTTTGTTTTTTTTTTTCCTTCCCAAATGTGAACAAAGACTGTAGAATCTTGAGCTACTTCCTTCTTTACTTTCTTCCTCTCTCTTTATATATATATGTACAGTCTTTGATGCACATATATCTTAATTTCTCTTTAAAGATCTACCTAATTTGATGCTCTTTACTAAAAAAATAAATAAATAAAACAATCAACAAACACACATAAAAGTGACAAAGATGAAGAAGAGATCTTATTCTTTGATGTAAACCCCCCACACCATTCATTAATAAAGTTCCTTTTTTCTTTCCAATTACAGGAATAAGCCATTAGCAATGGCTCGATTGGTACCAAGATGAGTTGTTTCGTACACAGGCAATTCTTCTCTGTACCTTTCAATTCCAATAACAGAAAGATTATCTAATTCAAACAAATCAGAACTTGCACAACTTGCTATATCATCATCATCGTCAGATTCTTCTTCCTCTTCCTCACTACAAACTTGATGATTATTGTCATTGCAAAGATCAGTACTCATATTATCAAACTGCGCTTCCTTCTTCTTTTGATAGTTCTTTAAGAGATTCCTTGCAACTTCCTCGATTCGGCGATTTTCATTCATGACATGGAACTTAAGCTCTTCATCACTTGCGGGAATAGTACTTCTTTTGGCAGTGGTAACTGCAGCTGCCACTAGAGTACTACTACTCATCTCCTGATGATCACTTCCATACAGACTTTTATGCCCACAAGGCCTACAATCCTCATCAACAATCACACTAACAGGATAGAACCTTACTGACCTTTTGGCTCCATTGTTGCTACTTAATTTCCCTCCTCTTGAAGAAGGTGTCTTGCTCAAGCAGGACCTTGAAAACGAAGAGGCTGACGAGCATGTAGATGCTTGCTCAGATTTTAACTTCCTCTCTTCATACCCGCCGCCCGAAGTCGATATCTTGGCCTTCTTTGCATTGCCTGTAGTGAAAAGAGAGTTAAGAAAGCTTGCAAGCCTGCCGCCGGGTGATATAGGCTGCTTGACCTTCTTGAGATCACCATAAATCTTTAAGGCCTTCGATTTTGTCTTGACAAAACTGCCTTCATGTTTTGCCTTCTGGTTTGGTGCATAATTTCTCTCATGATGTTGAAACATATCATTTTGATGATGATCTTCACGTCTTTGGCATTTCTCTGGCCTAGCAGAAATGCTGGTTCTGATAGGCTTAGGCCTTTGCATGGTGTAACTAACTGTTGATGAGTTGACACCGTAAATTGATTCAGATTCTGATGATGAAAAAACGCCACCACAGCTAGATTCAGAGGAGCTCGAGCTTGAATTTAACAGCACAGAATCGAAATCTTTCGGAGATTTCTTGTCAAAACCCGCCGTGGATTTTCGCCTGCCGACAACCTTCTCATAGCTAACTTTCTTCTCCATCCACTTCTCTATCATGCACGCTCTTTGCGAACTTGTCATTTCTTCATCTTTAAAACCATGATTCCCATGCTTATTCCTCATGGTTTCTCTGTAAAAAATCAGCTGCTCTTCCTCCCTTTTACCATTTCCAGATTCATCTATCGAACGGTAGATAGAATCAAGAAGAGTAGAGGAGAAAGATGGGTTCTCCCTTTGGTACTGTCTATACCTATCGTCTCTTAGCGGTTTCTCCCATCTATCCATATTCTGTCTTTATAGAGATTGTTGTTTGAAGTACAGCAGTACTACTGAAGAAATAGTAGCAAATTGAATGATATTGCTTTCTCTTTGTTGTCTGCTTCAAATAGTGCCAAAAGCTGGGAGAGAGGTAAAGAAAGTAAAGGAGAGGTTAATGGAAGCCAGAATGATTGTGGGAAAGAGAAAACTAAGACAAAACAGACTGGAACTCTGGTCTTTTTGCTCTCTTACACTATGTGATACATAAAAGACAAGCAAACAAAGCAGACATATTCATTGTTGTGTGCTCGATGGCTTATAGAGAGAAGAGAGAAGAGAGAGAGTAATGAAAGCCAAAAGCCACGCCTATGAAGGAGGAAAATAGGAGGAGATGATTGGCATTTGGTAGTAGAGAGTTTCTATGCTTTCTTTTCTTTTACATGCTCTTATAAGGCCACACACACTCACTCTCCTCCAAGTGGGTCCAGTGCTTGGTTGGCAGTGGTGATGTGGCATGTTAATTATTAATTAACAAGATAACCCAAAAATTTGCAATTACTACTACACTTTTGTTTACTGTGTGTCCACACTTTGTTTCTTCTCACATGAAGTGACATAAGATCCTTGCTTTTTCTTGCATTTGCTAAAAAGAAAACAAAGCCAAATTAAGGGGGCTAGCTTATGTATCTATCTATGTGTCTCGTTATGCATGCAAGATAGCTGGCCCTGGCCTAGCTAGCTATATTGATCTCCGAGACAAAGAATACTCCTTTTTCAATCCTCAAATCCTTATCTTACTTTACTGTTAATTAAATGAATTATACTAGTTTATTGGCACTAATGTTTCCTTCTTCTTCTCCTCTTTTTTTTTTTTTTTAAGAAAAAAGATTTTGAATTCAAACTTAAGCTTCTCTTTTGTAACAAAAAATACCATTTTTTCCTCTCTTGATTATAAAAACTGATTCAAATTTTGGGGAGGATAAATGGGAACAGTGGAGATCACACAGTACTAGGACTTGCCGTCAATCATAATATTAAGAATTATTGTCTAAGCAACAATGCCTATTTGCACAGTCAACTAATGCGGGCGGCTCATTGGATGCTTTGACTTACAACGCCATCAAGCAATCAAATGAACAGCAATAATGCTGCCTTTTTTGTTTTAAATTGTCCAAATTTGATTTTTTTCTTTTGAAATAAACATAATTAAGTTTGCTCAGTTGGGTTGACTAATCAAGAGTGATAATACATTTCATGGGAAACAGGGAAGAATATCGTATGCGAATGAAGACAAGAATTAGTTATAATAATATTATGTACTTTCCCACCTCCTGTATGTACGTAATAAACATAATTACGGATCGTCTTCATATCTTCTATTTTGCCAGCGTTCCTTTTCTTTTTCTTTTTCTTTTTTTATCAAAAACTAATCCTATAAACATTAATTACATTTTAAGGTTTTCTATAATGTCTCTAGCGAGTTGCAATGGCATCTTTAATTGTTGAATTTCATGTATATTCATAATGTTTTGAAGATTTATTTTTTTCTTAGATATTTTTAAAATGCCTTTTTACAAAATTCTTGTGTCTTTTTAATCAATTTCCACAAACTAAGAGTTATATATATATATATATATATATATATATATAAACAAGTCTTTTAGATATGTTCAAAATCAATTTAGAGTGGACATCTAATAGGTTAAAAGCTATAGGCAATTAAGTTGAATCCAAAAAAAAAAAAAAAACTAGGTATAGGCAGCAATCCACATAGGGAGAGATGTTATTTAGTTAGTTATGAAGGTTATTCTGTAATTTACCAAGTTGATTGATGTGTCGTGATTTATAAATTATAAACTTGTTTTTGTTGCCCATTTAGACAGCAAATCAAACAATATAATTGTGCACTTGATATGGTGAACAGGGCATGAATGCGAAAGCAACATATTATATATTAATTTGCAAAGATGATCAAGTACAGCTTATACATGATTATGGACTAACCATTTCTTCTTCTTCTTCTTCTTCTTTTGGTTCAAACCATTTCGGTTGCAAATTAGATGTATGATTATGCAACAGTTATGTTGAGCATTCCTTTATTTAACAAATAACGAATCAATTTCATAGACGAAGTTTTTCTATTTACTACAGTTATAATTCTATAATACGTATGAGATATAGCCCAAACACACCCTTTTTTTTTTTTTTAGAGATAAAAAAAAAACGTAAATTCAAGTTTGGGTATGAAAGTACACAACAGGATACAGAGAAATCTAAGAGTTGCAATTCTTTGTTTCCACCATAAAGAAGAAATTCACGAACAAATTTTATGGTGGATCTTATATTTATGTGAGAGGAATGATTACAACTTTTGATATATTTAATAATTTTCCTAAGATGTATGGTGATACTAACGGGATATGTTTTGGGATTGTTAAGAAAAGGATTGAAATATAATTTTAAGGCTTATGTGTGAAAAAAAGAACTTTGTTATGACTGTAATATTGTGTATTTCCTAAGATGTAAGGAATGATTGCAAATAGAGAGATAGATAGAGAGACATTGAAATCAAAATGTATTTCCTTTGTTATCGGGTTAATAAAAGGTTAAGAGTTTTTCCGTAATATTATGTGCAAACTTTGATTTATTCTTGTCTATTGTAGCGTGTTGCCTATTGTTTGCAGGACTTCGGGAAAGCCTTTTGGGTGTGTGAAACACCATAGTCAATAGGCCAAACACGAGAGTAAATTGAAAGGAAAAAGGTCGAAGTCTAGGGGAACTAGGTCGCCGCACTCGGGTTAAAATTGTGGCGCAAATTTGATCCTATGATATATATATGTTATTTTAGTGATGTTGGTTAATGCAATGACATAATTGATAAAGTACCATATTTGTATATATTTTAAATAAAAAAAGTACATATATACTCTTTTTTTAAAATTTTTATAACAAGAAATTTATTACAAAATTATGTATTTATCATAAAATATTGAATCCAACGGGAGATAATTAAATATTATATTTGAAAGAAAAAAATTAAATTATCATTTTTCAAAATCATCATACTAATGAACAATATAATTTAATTTTTAAATCTACACATTAGTTTATAACCCTAAAGAAAATATGGAAGTTAATGTTTTTTTTATTATTCTTTTGTAACATCGTATATTCGTACTTTCCAATAGAATATACAGTATATTGTTATTGCTATATCGATTTTCTGGGAGCTAATTTTTTTAATTTAATATCAAAACAATAATGTTGTATAACATATAAAATATTTAAAATATTCTGCACTTAGAATGTCCTAAATCTTTAAAAAATCATTGTACCGTCTATCCGTAACTTGGACTGGAGCAACCTCAGGTTGTGAGGGGGCAGCGAGGTCAGCTTTCGGGTGAGAAATTGACTTTTTGGGTAATGGCTGGTTTTACCTGAAAGGCTGAAACTGTCTTTTCCTTTACTCGACCAGATTTTTTTCTCTTTTACCTGAATTAGTTATATCTAATAAAGTAATTCACGATAGCCAAATTTTTTACCTACTAGCTTGTTAGTCTTTTTTAATATAAAATACTAAAAATAACTATAACCAAGCAGTCAAAATTAACGACAGAAAAAAAAATTACAATTTCGTTAATTTCAAAAAGTTATAAATATATATATATATATATATATAATTATCCGAACTACTTGTTTTCTGAAATTTTTAAAAAATGGCTATCCGAATCAGTTCTGATAGTCCGGATTTCAAGTTTAACATTGAACAGTGCTCCCTCCTAAGAAATGACTTCTCCTAAGCATTTTAATCCTTACAGCTTTATGAATGTTTCATTTATGTCCTTCAAAAATTATACATTTACCTTCCATAATAAGTTAAAGAGTTTGAAAAGACAACTAAGAATTTTATATTCATAATATTTTTTCGACTGCTGTAGGATATATACTTCTCATTGAATGCATGCTGATATCATGGCTATGAGAAAAACCTAATGAAATTACTTCTCATTAAGACAATATTAAGTTGAAAAATATGAGGTAATAATAAAAGTTGAAGAAAATTAAATATTTTATTTGTACTTTCTATTTAAGAAATTTTATAATACTTAAGGAATAACTAGTGTAAGTTATTTCATATATATATATATATATATATATATATATATATAGACACAAAAATGAAAGAAAAACAAGAGAAAGAAAATTTTTTAAAAAATTGAGCTAAGGTGAAATTTTTTTTTTATTACTTTTTATGAGTTCGAATATGATTCTCTCTCTCTCTCTCTCTCTCTCTCTCTCTCTCTCTCTCTCTCTCTATATATATATATATATATATATATATATATATTGTGTGTGTATACTCTTATCTTTCTCTTAAAAAATAAGTTTATAGAGTAATTACTATACATGTACACTATCATAAAATTTCTCCCTTCCCATTCATATAAAACTCATTAATCGTTATAAAATTAACTACAATTTAATTATAATTAATAAATTAATTTTTTTACATGTTTTTAATTAATTATTTTGTATTTTTTTTACGAGTGTATTCCAAGTAATTTTTATTAAAGATAAATTGGTAATTGTGATATTCCAATTTAAAACTTTGCTTGGCATATATGATATTTAGTGATAGTAATCAAAATACATATGTTTAAATTGCTTAACTTCCATATGTTTTACTATTTTGAGATGTCCAAATGATAGACCTTACTTGCTTTTGTATTCTATGTGCTAGGATGTGAAACTGATTGATAAGTGACGTTAAAAGAACCATATAAAGAAAATTTATGATCAATACCAATTCGGACAACCGGAAAGCACAAAAAGCGTGGGCACGTAAGAGTAATAGCGTGGGCACGCAGATACGATAGACATGGAGGCATAAAAGTATGAAGGCATAGGCATGCTGAAAATTGCGAAACGGACAACGGACCTCAACTAGGAAACAAATTCCGTTGTGATTTACTAGGAATAGACTCGAACGATCCGAAAGGGGAGCGAATATTTTGTACCTTTTTAGG